AACATTTAGTGAAGCATCTCGTGCCCAGCACTGCCCCACATAAACTGAAACAAAACATGGGAAATGTTAGCCAAGAACTGTGCAAAACAACTAGCCCAGGGATGGCTGCAGATGGTTGGGGAGATGAAAAAGGTTGGAAGACTTCCTGGAGGTGGGGGCACCTGTGCTAGTTCTGAAACGAATGCCAACTAAAGAATGTCTCCAGCCAGCTGGCTCCACAAGGACTGAGTCATTAGCAGTTATTAATTGAGTCACTAACACAGCCTGAAAAGAGTTCAGGGTGGAAATCAGGAATGAGATACTCTACTCTCTGGGAAAACTCACAGAATAGACCTTCAGATAGAAATTTTCAGGAGAAAATTTTATAAACCCAAATTTCTTGCATCTCACATACTTAGAAAAGCAATAAAATAATTAAACTGTGTGTGCTTGATAACTAGCAGTAAACTTTTACCTAGATATGTGTTTGACTGCAGGTACCCGTTCTCCAAATCTGCTATACGCTGACCTCTGCCCTCACCTCTTCCATGCTGAAGCAGTTTCTCAGAGTTGTCTGAGAGGCTGTCTGCAGGGCTATAATCCTCAGTTAAGTCCCCAAATAAAACTGAATTTACAGTTCTTAGATGTGCTATTCTCCCCCCCCCTCCCCCCGCCCCCCCTCCAGTGGACAGGCTCCAAGCGGAAGTCACCAGCAGGTGCAAAAATGCTAGGTTGAGAAAATACCAGGATGTTAGATTGCTACAGTCTTCTCTGGCCTTAGGCAGTGCGGGCTTCACCTACAGGTAGCCTTTGCGCACATCCACTCCCTCCCCCGCCCCGCCCCGGTCAGCCTCTGTCCTTGCTCTCCCCGTGTGCACTGCGCTTGCCAGTCTCGCTTGGTCGAGTCCCCTTTTTGGCTGGCCCCTCCTCACAGCCTCTAGGTTGCACATCCTGTCTCTGCTCACCTACCCTGGTGCTTCCGGCTCTCCATCCAGCACCCGGCACACCTCGGGCGCAGCCTCCTCTCAGCTGCGCATCCTACCCCGCCCCACTCCTCCAGCCTCTCCTCTCTGCAGCATCTACTCCTCCGTACTCTCCCCTCCCCCCCCCAATCGCTCACGCCCAGGCCCGCGCGCCCCCTCGTCTGACCTCTGCCCAGCGTTGTCAGCTCAGCTCTCAGCAAGCACTCTTCTCTCTCTGCCCCAGGCGGTCTCCAGCCCGGGGGCGCGCGGGATCGTTGCCTAGCAACGGAACGCTACCTGCAGGTAGGTAGGCGCATGCGTCAGGCGCCAGCCTCTAGAATGCAGGCGCCTTTGGGGAAGAACAGCTCCCGGTGCTGGGCTGGGTTCCAGCGGGGAGAGGCAGCTTTGGCTCTTAGACCTTGCCAGTGGTGCGAGAGAGGAATAGTTCAGCGCCGGGCGGCATCTCTGTGGCTGAGTCCTCTCCTCCTCCCTGGTGAGCAGCGCCGCCCCTTTTGGAGGGGCAGGAGAGGCGGGTCTGGAATAGAAAAGCTATCGAAGCTCTCGGAATCCAGGTCAGGTAAAATTCGGGGTACCCAGTTAAATTTGAATTTCAGAGAAATAAGAAATCACTGTTTAGCACAAGTATAGTAGAGTGTATAATACAAAATCGTTTCTTGTTTATCTGAAATTTTAAATTTAACTGGCCACCGCATCCGATCTCTTCCTCTCCCACTCGGCCGGCTTTCTCCCAAGCGTAAGCTAGGAACCTCTGTTTTTTCGGACAGCTTCGCCAGGCTTAAGGCAGCTGTTTCTGTGGGAATGGGCTTTCTTCTGTTGACCCAAGATGCCTGTTGGTATGTATGAAAACTATGCCTTACAACAGGCTGGGTATTTTTGCTGTTTCGTGGAGAGGAAGCAAGCCAAACGAAGTAACGAGTTTCACCTGGGTTCCGTTGATGAGACGATGCAGCCGGCTTCGATTGGAGACCAGTCTTCCTTGGGCTGTTTCTTCTTACGGAGACCATGGTCGTCTTCTCTTGTGTTAGCTTTCTGGAGCTGCAGCAGGAATTTGTTCCAGATTTCCTGCACTGCAGGCATATTCTTTCCTGCCCGAGCCACCAGGAAAAAGTCCTTTAAATTGCTAGTGTGTTTCAAATGGAACTGAGATGTCAATGTAGTTATTTTTGTCCTTAAGAGTATTATCCCATTGAAGAAGTACAATGAGGATACTGTGTTCCATACTCAGTTATAATCTTTCTTTTCTCTGTGTGGGTAAAATGCCAGCGCCAGCTAGGTAGGGCATTAAGTTTGTGCCTGGGTTGGGTTTGTTTTACGACAATGTTTATGCATACACAAGTACACATTTCTTTCCCCATAGCGGTTGTTAATACCAAAGAGGGCATACTAGATGCAATTTCTGCTTCTTGCTTCCCCCACACCCCGCCTTCACAGTATGTCCTAGAGCGCATTCCTGGTTTTGGAGAGCTTCCTCATTCTCTTTATTTGCACAATAATCCATTGTGTGGCTGTACCTTAACGATGGATTCGCAATTTGGTTATTGTTAGTGATAGTACAAAACAACCCTGTGTATCTATTGTAACAGAGCGTGGGGAGCTCAGCCATTAGAAACACAGCAGTTGCTCTGCGGGTTACTCTGGACACCCCTTAGCAGGCAAGGGTCCGGCTCAGCCATTAGTCAGTACAGGCAGTGGGCCCGCCCATAAGCAACCAACCAACCATCAGTGAGTGACCGTTAATGGTGCTGCTTAACCATTGGTTGCTGCTGCAGTGGGCTCCGCCCACAAGCAACCAACTGTCAGCAACCGTTACTCAGGAACACAGCCGAGGGTCTGTTGGTGGAGTAGTGATCTGTGCAGTGGTAGTCCTCAGGTGCAGAGTGAGGTAAGAGGCGGATCCAGACCTCCATGGAGTCCTCCAGTTCACCTGGACTCGGGCCAGTGGGTGGGCTGGAGGGTCCAGGGAACAGGCTGGGGGCTCTGTCCTGCAGAATTTCAGAGCCCTTGCCAGGGCCACCCATTGGCTTTAGCCCGGGGCTTGAGGCAGCGGTGAACCTCTCCCCCATTCCCACTAGCAGTGGCTGTCTGTGGAACCTGTTCCTCCCCACACCCCGCAACTTTTTGGGCAGAACAGAGAATAACATTTGATGGAATTTACAGGAGCACCGTTACCTGACCATGATCTGATACAAAGAAGTTTGCAACAACTAACTCCACCCCTCTCTCATCTTTCCTAGAAAAGGGCTTGACTGAGAGCTTTGGAGTTTGGAGTTTTTAAAGCATGAGCCACCCAGTTCCTTGCATGGCCCTGCAATAAACCTTTCTCTGTTCCAAACTCTGACGCTTTGGTATTGTTTTGGCCTCACTGTGTGACAGGCATATGGACTTGCATTTCAGTAATAATATCACTTCATATTTTTGTAAGATAGGATCCCAGATGTGAAACTGATGGTAAATGGTAAATGGTGATGGTAAATGGTACATATGTACATACATATGTAAAATACAATGGTAAAATACAATGGTAAATACATATGTAATTTTCAAGATATTTACAAATCCTTCTCCATGGTGTTATGCCATTTGTACTCCTATCATGAGAGAGAAAGTAGGTTTGAGATCTATGGATCGTTGTTAGGGGTCATTGTTTCTACAATTTTGTGCAGAATGTTAGGTGCAATTGTTTAGGGACAGGTCTAGACACTGGAATTCTGTCCCCTGAAATTGCTCATGTCTGAATATAACAGATACTCAGTATATATTTGTTGAATAATGAATACATTTCATCAGATTCTCAGAGGAATCTGAATTCCATACGGGTAATTCAAAGGTGATCACTGTTTTCAAAACACCTGAGATAGAGTGCATTCCTCCCTCCCTCCCTCTTTCTTTCTTTTATTCTCCCTTCCTTTCTTGTCTAAGATTATTCTTGTCCAGATTCATTAGTAAATTGGGACATTACTGAGAGAGTGGAGAAACTCATTCATTTGCCCATGGAGGGCCAGCTGTGTCCACACTGTGAATGAGTAATACTTTTTGCGGAGCTAGAGAAACTTGTCTTCTTGTGGGAGGACAGACATATGCATACACAGTGCTCAGGTAGTGTGACACATGCTGTGTGAGCTGCTTGGGGGAAGGAGGACCATCTTTGCATTGCCTGGGAGACAGTTGTATGACCCACAGCAGGGAGAAATGAGAGAGGAGTGATGCCTTGCAGGTGAGGAAGTATTTTCCAAGCTGAGGGAGAGTGAGTGGGCCATCATATGCAAAAGTCATGGAGATGGAAACATGCAAGGTGTGAGCAGAAGGATGGCAAGATCTTCTGTGTAGTTAAAGCCCAGGAGCCAGAAGGGATATCTGGAAGTGAGCCTTGAGAGAAAAGTGAAGCCAAAGCACGAGGAACTTCATATGCTATTCTTGAAAGGTTGGATTTTTTTTTTATTCTTTGGCCTTAATATATTTGGAGTTTTAAAAAAATTGAGGTGGATGATGGTGATATTTTCAAGAAATAACTCTCATGAGTTGCAACGAACATCTTAACAAGTCATGTAGGGTAGCAGCTCTGGAATCAAGAGTTGGGTATGATTCCCTCTCCATCATGCACAACCTGTGTGATCCTGGGCTGTTTGCTTACACTCTGTGTCTGGTCATCCTCATCTGCACAGTGGGGCTAAGGATACTGTGTTCAGGTATGCTGTGAGGATTTAGTAAGACATGCATCTCGTCATATGGACATCCATATGTCATATGGACAGTAATGAAAGTAACCCTTCTCTGACTCTTGGACTCCAGGGTCCTTCAGGATTTGGAAACTACTCTAGTCATGGAAACTTTTGTGGAGCCATTTTGGAAACTGCTAGAAGCATCCTGGAGCCAGCTTGCTAGTGCCCTGATGTGCTGATGGCAGGTGCCCATGAGTGGTGACAGAAGCTAATGCTTTGTTGGACTCACTAGACTCTGCTTTGACTGTACCTTCATTGAAAATTTCCTGCACTAATGCAAAACATTTATCTTTTAGAAGTTTTTATTTAGCAATTAGAAATGGAGTCAGCATATCTTCAAAAGATTCTTGGGACATGTCTAACTGAAGGTCTTGCGGAAGTGGCAAGGATGCGTCCAGTGGATCCAATAGAATATTTAGCACTGTGGATTTACAAGTATAAGAAAAATGTGACCATGGAGAAACAGGTAAATATGGATATAGTTTTAAAAATTTATTATTTATCAAAGAATATTTGCTTTACAATATTATATTAGTTTTAGGTGTACAGTAAAGTGACTCAGATCCATGTATATATTATATACATATATATTTTTTAGATTCTTTTTCCATATAGATTATTACAAAATAGTCAGTATAGTTCTCTGTGCTGTACAGTAGGTCCTTTTTTTACTAATATATAGTAGGGTGTATATATTTCTTCCAAATTCCTAATTTATCCCTCCCCTCTCCCCGAACCTTTCCCTTTTGGTAACCATAGCTTTGTTTTCTATGTCTTTGAGTCTGTTCCTGTTATATAAAGAAGTTTGTGTATATCATTTTTTAGATTTCACATATAAGGGATATTGTATAACATTTGTCTTTGTGTGACTTACTTCACTTAGTATTATAATCTCTAGGTCCATCCATGTTGCTGCAAACGGCCTTCTTTCTTGTGCTGAGGAGTATGCCTTTGCATATATGCACCACATTTTCTCTATCCATTTAACTATCACTGGACTTTTAGGCTGTTTCCATGTCTTAACTATTGTAAACAGTGCTTAAGTGAACACTTGGATGCATGTATCTTTTGAATTAGAGTTTTCTCCAGATATATGCCCAGGAGTGGAATTGAATGATCATGTGGGTTCTATTTTTCATCTTTTAAGGAACCTCCATACTTTTCTCCATGGTGATTGTACCAATTTACATTCCCACCAACAGTGTAGGGAAGGGTTCCTTTTACTCCATACCACCTCCAACATTTATTATTTGTAGACTTTTTGATGCTGGCCATTCTAACTGGTGTGAGGTGATACCTCATTGTAGTTTTGTTTTGCATTTCTCTAACAGTGATGTTTAACTTAGCATCTTTTCATGTGTCTTTTGGCCGTCTGTGGGTCTTCTTTGAAGATAAGTCTATTTAGAATTTCTGCCCATTTCTTGATTGAGTTATTTGTTTTTTCTTTTCATTTATTTTTATTAGTTGGAGGCTAATTACTTTACAATATTGTAGTGGTTTTTGCCATACGTTGTGTTTGTTTTGATATTCAGCTATATGAGCTGCTTGTATATTTTGGAGATTAATTTCCTTATTGGCTGCATCATTTGCAAATATTTTTTCCCATTCTGCAGGTTGTCTTTTAATTTTGTTTATGGTTTCCTTTGCTGTGCAAAAGCTTTTAAGTTTAATTAGGTCCCATTTGTTTATTTCTATTTCCATTACTCTAGGAGATGGGTCAAAAAAGATATCACTGAAATTTAGGTCAAAGAGTGTCCTGCCTATGTTTTGTTCTAGGAGTTTTATAGTATCCAGTCTTACATTTAGGGCTTTTAATCCCTTTGGGGTTTATTTTTGTGTAGGGTACAGGCGAATGTTCTGATTTCATCCTTTTACATGTAATTGTCCAGTTTTCACAGCATTATTTATTGAAGAGACTCTCTTTTCTCCATTGTATATTCTTTCCTCTTTTGTCATAGATTAATTGACCAAAGATGCTTGGGTTTATTTCTGGGTTTTTTATCCTGTTCCATTTTGGATCTTCTGTTATAAAATTATATGAGTGAAATAATTGGCCCAGTGTCTTTGCTTTTTGAAAGAAGTTCAATATTATCATTTCTTTCTATTATAAAAATACAAAACTTGGACAACATGAAAAAGCGAAGAAAATAAAGACCTCTATTTAGATTTTTAGGTATTTTTAGTTAGTCTATAATCTTTTTTCTATGTACTTGTCTGGAGTTTTGTTTTTTTTACACAATTGTGACCACATTCAATGTGTAATTTTAATTTTATGCTCTTTGTTGAAATAATACATGCATTTTCCCCAATTATGATATCGTTTCCTAATGGATAGACTGTAATTTGCTTTTCTTTCCCTATTGGTGGTGGTTAAGATGCTTTCAAGATTGTGATTTACAAATTGTTTTATCTGTAATTAGTAATGCGATGTTTTTCTTTAAATCATGCGAGAGACAAGACGAAATGGTCCAACTGGAGCATGAAAGAGAAGTAGCTCTGATGGAGCAGGAGATGATGGAGAGACTTAAAGCAGAGCAGCTTCTCTTCCAGCAGGTGAGACCAGAGAGTTCAGTGGTGCCTGGAGCCCCAGGGGTGGCACCCTTGGTGCAGTACCCCCACACCTAGGTGCAGAAAACTCCTCACCTCTGGTTGCTTAGATGTGGCTTCCTTATATCTTCAATGTTATGTCTGTTATGTGGTTTCTTTTGTTTAATACTTATTTTTATTTATTTATCCTACTTGGCTGCACCAGGTCTTAGTTGCTGGCATGGGGGATCTTCATTGGAGACATGCAGGATCTAGTTCTTATATGGGGAGCATGGAGTCTCAGCTACTGGACCACCAGGGAAGTCCCTGTATGTGGCTTCCTTACTGGGGAAGAAGCAGTGTGAAGTAGGAGGAAAACCCAGAGAGTTTGCTATCACAGAAGCCAAGGGGACAGCATCTCAGTGAGACCTGAGTGGTCAATCATGTCTGTGGTTGGTCAGGTGAGAACAGAATTGCCAAGTGCTCACTTAAGGCCACTGGTGACCTAGGTGGGCACAGCTGTGTGGGGTGGGGTAAAGCAGGGGAGATGGAGATGGTGAGTAGATGTAATGCTTTCAAGGAGATTTTCAGGGAAGGAGTTTTCTTTTGTTTGTTTTAAGGAACAGAGTGGAAGGGGAGTGGTTGATTTAAAGAAATGAAGGGGATCATTACTAGGGTCAGCTTTTCTTGGAGACCAGAGGAAACTGTCTCTGGAATGAAGATTAGGCAGGTGAAAGTATCCTTTGATTCAAGGGAAGAGGATAAAATGGCATTAAATACATGTGGTGTGTAGGTTTTGTTGAGCAAAGATGAAAGCAGTTTCTGTGTGACTGTCTTTTTTATAAAGCAGGGCCCGTGATCATCTACCCAGAATGAGGTGATAAGGTAGGAGGTGACCGGAGAGTGGTGAAGGTTTGAAATGGTGACTTTGGAGAATTAGAGTTGACCAAGGAAACTTAGCATCCCTTGGTAGCACTGAATTCCCTGAGTCCAAGCAGTCATAATGGGGCCTTTTGGTTTGGCTTTGTTATTATGTGATTTTTCTCCACTTAGACCTAGGTATACTGGTAAAGATGTGGAGGAGACAGACAGACTGAAGTGAGTTTGGGTTAGGAGGATTGGGGAGCTAAGGATGTTGGTATGAGAAGGTTGAAGAGGTGTGTCATGGACTATAAACCAGATAGGGGAAAGTCCTAGAGTGACTTCTGGACTAATTTAATTTATGGAGCACTTCTAAACCAAATTTGAGTCACCTTTATACTTCTACCATATAATACCTAACTCTAGAGACTCAACTCCAGTTTACATATTTTAAGAAGGGATTATTTGGGTGTGTGGATAAAAAGGAAAATGTAGACATGGAAAATAGCCTCTCTATCTTGTCTCCCATCCTCAATACTTGGTAAAACATTCTAGGCACCTTAGATGGATATGGCTGTAGAGGCCTTTACTGCTTCTGAGTCTTCATTTTTCAGTCATTGGGCTTATTTTTGTGGAGAGGTTGCAAAGTGTTGGATGTCAAATGCCCATCCAATTGGGTAAGTGTCTGCTGCAACTTTGAGTGAGGATCTGCCCTGCCTCTTCCAGCTCCTGGAGCTGCATCTGTCCCCTGTCTCTCTGAATAAAGGGAACTTCTTAGCAGTTCTCCTTCCCCAAGACAATTAAATCACAGCTGTGGAGGTACCCTAACTTTTGTTGACTTATCTTCTTTACATTACTTCAATAAAGTTTGACAATACTAGAAACTTTTCTCTGGCTGTATCCACCTACACAGCCACCTACTGTGTATTGGGCAGGTGGAAGATACAGTGATATCCTGCAGAAGGCATGGTGGCTGGTTAAAGAAGTGGATTGGTGGGCAGAGAGAGATGAGAGGAGAAGGGATGTGTGTAAAGATGGACCAGCAGAGAAGAACTTAAAACAGAGTGAGGCTAAGATGAAGAAAAATCAGAGAGGCTTTCTGTGTGCTTTGAGTCAAATGAACTGGAGATCAGGACTCTGATCACCTGCCTTTTGGTTGCAAAAGCAAGTGTCTTCATAGTATAGCTGACTTGAAATTCTTTGAAATTTTAAAAACTCTTCAGCAAGCCCAGGTCATTGTGAACAGGGAAACATTTTTATTGGTGTTTTTTACTTAGGAGCTCATTTTGGAAGTAATAGTTTTATATTTGTTTGAATGTTTTTCTAATGGTATTGGTCACATGTGAAGAAAGCAGTTGAGTTTCAAACACTTCCTGAAAATGTTAAGATACTGGTTATGTTGACCAGTGTGGTTGGTATTTAACAACTGCATTTTGCATTATTATTGACTGATTAGAGTTATTTCACTTTCTTTACTGATTTCTGAAATGATTGAATGATAACATTCCTGCATTTCAGCTAGCTAGCCCATCACTTTTATTTTAGTGGGGATCACATAAGAATACAAAGAAATTAACAGCCCTTTGTGAATAACTATTAATCACTGTTTATTATGTCTTAGTAAAAAAATGTATTTTTAAAAATGCCTTCATATAGTTTTAAAATGCTGTTAATGGAATGAGCTTCTATTATCCTGTTTATGGGGTGGCACTGGACTGATGGTAAGAAATTATTTTCAGGTGAGGTTAACCAACTCTTCCTGTAAAGGTGGATATTTTGTGATTTTCAGGCCAAGAGGCAAAACTGAGGATATTGTGTGGGGATTACGGTATATTATGTAGCCATAGCAAGAGAGAAATTTCTATAGATGTTTTATCGATGAAATAAAAAATTAAAAAAACTACAATTTCTTTCTGTAATGTAGGCTTACTATTGAGAAGAATTACACTCCCCCTTTAAAGCTAAAAGTTCACTTAGTTGGACTTCAAAGATAATGTTCCCTCTCATCAAAATGGATAGAAATGTTTCTGTTAATGCTGATCTGTAATGAGATTTTATGTATTTCATCTGTGAAATGTTTTCTCACTCATAGGTCCTACCAACTGTTGATAATTAGTCCCTGTGCCTACAATATTCAGTGTATTGATCTCTTGGAAGGCACTTGTAGAAGACTGCTCAATTTTTCTCTTGATATTTGTCTTTTACCGTGTCTCCACCTGATAGATTAATCCCTTCCAGTTGATGGTTGGTGAAAGCTTCTCAGTTACACAGTTTTGAAATCCATTGTAAATGGATTTTGAAATGTGGGAATTTCCTTTGCACTAACATCAGGCCTAAACACACTCTGAAACTATAGTTTGAACTTGGAAAATGTATCAGGCACAAATTTGTATGGGAATAGAAATCTGTTTTCTCAGACAAAGGATTAATCTCAAAAATATACAAGCAACTCCTGCAGCTCAATTCCAGAAAAATAAATGACCCAATCAAAAAATGGACCAAAGATCTAAACAGACATTTCTCCAAAGAAGACATACAGATGGCTAACAAACACACAAAAAGATGCTCAACATCACTCATTATCAGAGAAATGCAAATCAAAACCACAATGAGGTACCATCACACGCCAGTCAGGATGGCTGCTATCCAAAAGTCTATAAGCAATAAATGCTGGAGAGGGTGTGGAGAAAAGGGAACCCTCTTACACTGTTGGTGGGAATGCAAACTAGTACAGCCACTATGGAGAACAGTGTGGAGATTCCTTAAAAAACTGGAAATAGAACTGCCATATGACCCAGCAATCCCACTCCTGGGCATACACACCAAGGAAACCAGATCTGAAAGAGACATGTGTACCCCAGTGTTCATCGCAGCACTGTTTATAATAGCCAGGACATGGAAGCAACCTAGATGTCCATCAGCAGATGAATGGATAAAGAAGCTGTGGTACATATACACAATGGAATATTACTCAGCCATTAAAAAGAATTCATTTGGATCAGTTCTAATGAGATGGATGAAACTGGAGCCCATTATACAGAGTGAAGTAAGCCAGAAAGATAAAGACCAATACAGTATACTAATACATATATATGGGATTTAAAAAGATGGTAATGATAACCCTATATGCAAAACAGAAAAAGAGACACAGATGTACAGAACAGACTTTTGGACTCTGTGAGAGAAGGCGAGGGTGGGATGTTCAGAGAGAACAGCAATACTATCAAGGGTGAAACAGATCACCAGCCCAGGCTGGATGCATGAGGCAAGTGCTCAGGGCTGGTGCACTGGGAAGACCCAAAGGGATGGGATGGAGAGGGAGGTGGGAGGGGGGATCGGGATAGGGTACACATGTAAATCCAAGGCTGATTCATGTCAATGTATGACAAAAACCAATACAATATTGTAAAGTAATTAGCCTCCAATGAATAAAAATAAATGGAAAGAAAAAAAAATCTGGTTTCTGACAGCACTGGGAGTGTATATAGCAGTTTGACATGATTTAGATGGTATTAGCTGTTGTTGAAATGATTTTACTGAGGTGTTAAGGTTTACATATAAGTGCTGTTTTGCCTTATACTTTTAGATTGAATTGATTAAAAATTGTTTAGTCTACAGCAGAAGTTAATTTCCGAAGTTATTTAATGTTTGATAATTGTGGTTGAAAATAGTTTTCTCATTCAGAAATACCTCAGTCTTGTCCCTGAACTCAAAAATTCACAACAAAACTGTTAGGCATGAAACTATCAAGTGGTAGAGCACGTCAAGATATATTCAGCTTCTATTTCTTTTCTTTTTTTTTTAATATATGGTCTTTGTAAAATTATTTATTTATTTATTTGGCTGTGCTGGGTCTTAATTGTGCTGTGCAGGATTTTCTATGTTGTGGCATGCAGGATCTTTAGCTGAGGTTTGTGAATTCTATTAGTTGTGGCATGTGACCTGGAGTTCCCTGACCAGGAATTGAACCCAGGCCCTGTATTGGGAGCATGGAGTCTTAGCCACTGAACCACCAGGGAAGTCCTCAGCTTCTATTTCTTATGAAAATTCATAGAGCAGATGATGGTTAAATTCATAAGGGTAAATGAAGGTCACTGTTGACACTGTTACTGAACCAAACTCAAGTCTGTTCATCCAGTGCACAGTAAAGCCAAATCTGTTGACGCTGGGTTGTGGTGAAGGCAAGTACAGAGTTCACTGCAGGGCAACAAGCAAGGGAGCAGGAGACAAACTGCATATCCACTCAAACTTAGTGTTTGAATGAGCAATTTTCTTAAAGGGGAAAAGGAAAGAGGCTGGGATTAATCTTGTGACATTTCTGTAACATTTTCTATTTTTTAAATTGAAGTATAGTTGATTTACAATACTGTGTTAGTTTCATGTGTATAACAAAGTGATTTGGTGTTATATATATATATATCGATAGATACTTTTTTCTGTTTCATTATAGTTTATTACAAGGTATTAAATATAGTTCTCTGTGGTGTACAGTATCCTTGTTTATTTTACATATGGCAGTGTGCATCTGTTAACCCCTACTCCAATTCCCCCTACCTTTGTTAATGATAAGTTTGTTTTCTATCTTCGTGAGTTTGTTTCTGTTTTTTATGTTAAGTTCATTTATACTATTTTTCAGTTTCCATGTACAAGTGTGATATATGATATTTGTCTTCCTCTGTCTGACTTATACTTAGTATGATAATCTCTAGAACTATCCATGTTGCTTCAATACTTCTGTGATATTTCTTAATCATTGCTTTTTTTCAGTCATCAATTGATGTTTCAGTCGTTTTGAACTCAGCATTGACTCCTTTGGAAGTCAGGGTGTCGCCCATTTACAGTTCTCTGGCCAGGTGGTCCATGGCCCAGTGGGTCCGTTAGCTCATCTTGTCCTAGAGAAATGATCTGAATTTGTACATTAATGATAAAATAGCAATTTTAGTGCATTAACGATGTTACCGACAATAGCAATTTTAGTCATCTGACTCTGGTTGATTATAGTGTTCAGTTAGCACAGAATTGAGGTCAGAGAGAACAACAAAGGGAATAGAGTTTTGGATAGAGAGATTAATCATAAACTCGGTATGGGAACTCAACTTGAGGGGGTCTCAGTTTCAACACTGCTGGCTCAGTAACACATGATCAGTTCAGTTCAGTTGCTCAGCCGTGTCTGACTGTTTGCGACCCCATGGACTGCAGCATGCCAGGCTTCCCTGTCCATCACCAACTCCCAGAGCTTACTAAGACTCATGTCCATCGAGTTGGTGATGCCATCCAACCATCTCATCCTCTGTCATCCCCTTCTTCTCCTGCCTTCAATCTTTCCCAGCATCAGGGTCTTTTCCAGCGAGTCAGTTCTTCGCATCAGGTGGCCAAAGTATTGGAGTTTCAGCTTCAGCATCAGTCCTTCCAATGAATATTCAGCACTGATTCCTTTAAGATTGGTTTGATCTCCTTGCTGTCCAAGGGACTCTCAAGCGTCTTCTCCAATACCACATTTCAAAAGCATCAATTCTTTGATGCTCTTTAAGAATTTTCCATAGTTTGTTGTGATACACAAAGGCTTTGACATAGTCAATAAAGCAGAAGTAGATGTTTTTCTGGGACTCTCTTGTTTTTTTGATGATCCAACAGATCTCGCAGTTTGGTTCTTCTGCCTTTTCTAAATCCAGCTTGAACATCTGGAAGTTCATCTTGAACTCTAACACATGATAGAGTCAAATATTTCCTGCAGAGTAGCTGCTATTGAATCATACAGTGAAAACTCATAGACTTTAAACACTGTGTTTTCACAAACTTTGTAAATTTGTCCAATTAGGCCTTTTTCTGTTCCACACACACTTTTTTGGCAGGTTGTTACACATCTTAGCAGATTTCATATCTGGTTGTACTGAATTAATGTTCCTCAATGTCTGAAGATGTTCTTGCCTATAGTACTATTCCATGAAGATTGTTCATGGTGGTTGATTCTTCAGTCACTGCAAACTCAGCATCAACTACTTTGATAAACAACAGCTAAGCAGTGCTGAGAGGATTTTTCTACTCGTCGAGGGCAAGGAAGATCAGTATTTCCCTTGTCTTTAATTGGCCATTGAAGTTGTTCCTCATGTCATCAACTCTGAGCAATTGTTCTCACCAAAAGGCTAATAATCTTAATTTTTTTTAGACACTGAAATCAAACTTGTTTTAATGAAATCACCATCGATAAGTGTGTTTCTTTGGTTGGCTAACAGATGAGCCACATGGGAACTTACTTTCATTGCAGTTTTTTAATTTTTGTGAAGAAATTCTGTTCTGGTGAAATAATTTTGTTTTAAATTATCTAATATTTCCAACCTTTGTGTTCATGCGAGTTGAGACCATTGTGATGAGTGCTTACTCTGATAATATTGACATCTACTGTATTCTTTTAGTACAGTGTCATTGAATGAGAAACACCATCCTTTGCTGTTGAATTATTTGATAATAAAATAACCCACAGTCTGCTTTGTTTTAAAAGAGCAGCATTCAAAATTCACTTCTTTTCTTGATGGATAAGGCACTGGTTAAAAAATATCCCAGTGTAGTGATACTATGGCACTCCAAACACTGTGAGTTCTGATGGTATCAGTGAACTTGTATGTACTATGCTGAGCAGAAGTGCAGGGCAGTGAGAGCACCACCTGCTGCCTCTGTTGCAAATACTTGACTCTGCTGTCGTGGGGCAGAAGCAGTCACAGTAAATAAGTGAGTGAACATGAGCACGGCAGTGTTTCAAGAGAGTTTTATTTATAGACACTGACATTTGGACTTCACATAATTTTCATGTGAAATAAAATATTATTCATTTGGTATTAGTCAACCATAAAAATGTATAAAAACCTTTCTTCACTTGTGGACTATAGAAAAACAGGAGTTGGGTCAGGCTTGGCCAGAGGAATTTAGTCTGTGGACTTCTATTCTCCTGAAGCTAGAATATATGTTGAGATGGGACCAAGTATGTTGTTGATTGTCTCTGGGTTCAGGTAATATACTTAAAAATGTTCTCATCTACTGTTTTACAACCAGAGTTTGACTATTTGAAGATCTATCATCAGTTCTTAAAGAAATTTTATCTGAGACAAATCACTGCAGTCTCATTTGTAGCTTCTAGAAGAATAGGGAAAATGATTTAATTTTGTACAAATACTGCTTTTCTAAAATTAGCAACTAAGGAAGCTTCCTTTTAAATTTTGTACTTCACGAAATATTTGTAAAAGCTAAAGTACTGGGAGATTGTGACCATTTATTCTCTTAAGTTTCTGAAATTTAGGTGAGTGTAACCTTAATTATCCTGGGATACTTCAGAGTAATCTAGTGAATTCCTTGCAATAAACTCTAATATGACTTATTTATATCTGAATATTCAGCAACAGCTGGAATTCCAACTGGAGTTGGAAGAGCAAGAAAAAGAGAGACAGAGAATAGAAGAACTGCAGAGAGCTCAAGAACAATTTGAGAAGGTAAATTAAAGTTTTATAAATGTTTGTTTTATTGAAAACCTCTTAGAATCCTCACTGTTACTTCTAGTTGTTATAGCAGGGGATTCACAGTCTAAAGACCTGCCACATATTATTTGTGTGACTTAAGCAAGTCCTATAACCCTTTTCAGTTTCAGTTTTCCTTTTAGAAAAATAGGGATAACAGTATAATGTTATTGGCAATATCTCACTGGGCTGTTGTAAGGATCAAATAAGATTGTGTATGTGAAACTGCTTTGTGAGCAGTGGCGCTCTCTAACATTGATATGGTCAACATTTTAGTCAAGAGATAGTGGTTCCTAATTATGATAGCTGATACTGAAGGCAAAATTCTTTGTAGTATTGGAGGTATTCTGATCTCTGAGACCATAGTTTGACTCTTTTCTTCACACTGGATGTATTATCAGCAATAACTTACATTTTAAAATATGTTCTTATTTGGATTTTTCATGTCTTTAAATTTTTGAGTAACTTGTGTCAAAAAAGTCCATCTCCCTTGACTGTGTCTGTTTTATGTCAAGCCTCCTGCTTGGTCAATGTTTCCTTGTGTCCAAAAAGTATATGTTGTATAGACCAAACTTTTGCATGACTGAGTTATACTTTTCAACTGGATATTTCTTATCATATACTTACAATTATCAATTGTTACTCAAATGTTATTCCTCTACTTAGTCCATGGTTAAAATATAAAAAATTTAAAATAGAAGCAGGTTTTGCAGAGTATATTTATTAATGGCTTAGATGAGAGCATCATTGTTTAAAGCAATTTGAAAAAGTAAGTTAAAGGGTAAATTAAATTTTTTAAAAAAATGAGATTTAATTAATTTACTATTTTTCCCATCAATTTACAATGCTTATCATTCTATAAGAGATGAATAAGAATTGTTCTTTACAAAGTGAAATCATTTAGCCCTATTGTAGTCTAAGTGTTGGAAGACTACTTTTGTGAGTCAAAAAGATGAGCTTTTAAAAGGATAAAATCAAATACCTATACAGAGTTTTAAAAAACACAGATGCTGATGTTATCTTTGTCTGAATGAGCGTAGGGCACATGGATATCCATGCATGCACACACACATGTAAACGCACACACCCTTCCACTTCAGTTAAGATTCAGTGATTGCAAATAAAAGAAGAAAACTCAGAATACATCAAGAAGATATTTATCAAAATGATAGAAGAATTGAAAATGTGTTTTATTGAGATGCCCTGATAGTTATATCTGAGTGATATAGAAAGTCTGTGATTTATAGGAGGGATTGGCTCCAAAGGGTCCCTGTTTGTGTTACTTACTTTCTGGGCATTATCAGACTGAGTGTCCAGAGCTGCAGTAACATTAATAATCCATATTCCTACTGGCTTATCACCCCTTTCTTTCCTGCAACATACTGCCTTGCTCAGAGGCAAATTCATCCAGGTCTTTTCATCTTGGCTTTCTTGTGGCTTCAGAGACATGACTTTAACTATCATTTGCAAAAGGAAATTTATTGGAAGGCTCCTGGGTTGAAGCAAGGTTTTTACAACTAAACTGTGAAGGTCTTTGGTTGAGTTGGGTCTTCTAGACCTCTGGGAGCAAGAGAATCAGTGCTGCCAGGGCTCACACCTCTGCTATTGTCTCTCACTGTGGCCTGGTTTGCTGCACATGGATGAGGATCATCATGGTCCTTAATGGTTCCTGGGTCTTATAATGCTGTGGCTCCTACCATCTGAAAGGAATAGATTCCTTTCTTTTGGGTTTTGGTTAAGAAAAGAATCTTGGGAAGGATTCTGACTGGATGAGTTTGTGTCAAGTATCCATCCCTTGGTTGGGTAACAGAGTCCTGTGAGAACATGGATTTTTCCATCAGAACCACGAAGTTGTGGGATAAGATGTGTACAGGAGAAGGGAGTGATCTGGAGAAAAGCTTACAGTGCTAAGTTGCTTCAGTGTGTCTGACTCTTTGCGACCCTATGGACTGTAGCCCACGAGGCTCCTCTGTCCGTGGGATTATCCCAGCAAGAATACTGAAGTGGGTTTCCATGCCTTCTTCCAGGGGATCTTCCCAACCCAGGGATCAAACACATGTCTCTTACATCTCCTGCATTGGCAGGTTGGGTTTTTTACCACTAGTGCCACCTGGGAAGCCCATATGTACCAGTTTAGTTCAGTTGCTCAGTCTTGTCCGACTCTTTGCAACCCCATGGACTGCAGCACGCCAGGCTTCCATGTCCATCACCAACTCCCAGAGCTTGCTCAAACTCATGTCCATCGAGTTGGTGATGCCATCCAACCATCTCATCCTCTGTCGTCCCCTTCTCCTCTCACCTTCAATCTTTCCCAGCATCAGGGTCTTTTCCCAATGAGTCAGTTCTTCACATCAGGTGGCCAGAGTAGTGGAGTTTCAGCTTCAGCATCAGTCCTTCCAATGAATATTCAGGCCTGATTTCCCTTAGGATTGACTACTTGGATCTCCTTACAGTCCAAGGGACTCTCATGTACCATATGTGTCCCTAATCATCAGGGCCATTATATAAAAAGTCACAAGTTGACTCACCTTTGGGCAGCTGAAGTGAATCAGCTCAAGAGCAGTTAAGTCAGCTTGCTGCCTTAGAATGAAAAGATAGAGGCCACAGCAAGGTTTGGTTTGATTAGAAGATTCTGTGTTTTCACATTCAGAAAGCAGTCTCCTATGTGTTCAGAGTGCTTTATAGAGGGCATTGCCCAGGTGCTGTGGAGAGGTTACATGTATTAAGTAGTGCCTTGGGCCAGACTAATTACTTTAAAAATATTTGCTTCTTAATCTATAGATTCAATGCAATCCCTATCAAACTACCAACAGTATTTTTCACAGAACTAGAACAAATAATTTCACAATTTGTATGGAAATACAAAAAACCTCGAATAGCCAAAGTAATCTTGAGAAAGAAGAATGGAACTGGAGGAATCAACCTGCCTGACTTCAGACTATACTACAAAGCCACAGTCATCAAGACAGTATGGTACTGGCACAAAGACAGAAATGTAGATCAATGGAACAGAATAGAAAGCCCAGAAATAAATCCACGAACCTATGGTCACCTTATCTTCGACAAAGGAGGCAAGGATATACAATGGAAAAAAGACAACCTCTTTAACAAGTGGTGCTGGGAAAACTGGTCAACCATCTGTAAAAGAATGAAACTAGAACACTTTCTAACACCATACACAAAAATAAACTCAAAATGGATTAAAGATCTAAATGTAAGACCAGAAACTATAAAACTCCTAGAGGAGAACATAGGCAAAACACTCTCCAACATAAATCACAGCAGGATCCTCTATGACCCACATCCCAGAATTTTAGAAATAAAAGCAAAAATAAACAAATGGGACCTAATGAAACTTAAAAGCTTTTGCACAACAAAGGAAACTATAAGCAAGGTGAAAAGACAGCCCTCAGATTGGGAGAAAATAATAGCAAACGAAGCAACAGACAAAGGATTAATCTCAAAAATATACAAGCAACTCCTGCAGCTCAATTCCAGAAAAATAAATGACCCAATCAAAAAATGGACCAAAGATCTAAACAGACATTTCTCCAAAGAAGACATACAGATGGCTAACAAACACACAAAAAGATGCTCAACATCACTCATTATCAGAGAAATGCAAATCAAAACCACAATGAGGTACCATCACACGCCAGTCAGGATGGCTGCTATCCAAAAGTCTATAAGCAATAAATGCTGGAGAGGGTGTGGAGAAAAGGGAACCCTCTTACACTGTTGGTGGGAATGCAAACTAGTACAGCCACTATGGAAAACAGTGTGGAGATTCCTTAAAAAGCTGGAAATAGAACTGCCATATGACCCAGCAATACCACTTATAGGCATACACACTGAGGAAACCAGATCTGAAAGAGACACGTGCACCCCAGTGTTCATCGCAGCACTGTTTATAATAGGCAGGACATGGAAGCAACCTAGATGCCCATCAGCAGACGAATGGATGAGGAAGCTGTGGTACATATACACCATGGAATATTACTCAGCCATTAAAAAGAATTCATTTGAATCAGTTCTAATGAGATGGATGAAACTGGAGCCCATTATACAGAGCGAAGTAAGCCAGAAAGATAAAGACCATTACAGTATACTAACACATATATATGGAATTTAGAAAGATGGTAATGATAACCCTATATGCAAAAAAAGAAAAAGAGACTCAGATGTATAGAACAGACTTGTGGACTCTGTGGGAGAAGGCGAGGGTGGGATGTTTCAAGAGAACAGCATTGAAACATGTATATCTAGGGTGAAACAGATCACCAGCCCAGGTTGGATGCATGAGACAAGTGCTTGGGCCTGGTGCACTGGGAAGACCCAGAGGGATGGGGCGGAGAGGGAGGTGGGAGGGGGGACCGGGATGGGGAATACATGTAAATCCATGGCTAATTCATTTCAATGTATGACAAAAACCACTACAATGTTGTAAAGTAATTAGCCTCCAACTAATAAAAAAAAAAAAGAAAAAAAATAAATAAAAATATTTGCTTCTTTTTTACTATGTATAAAATTCTACTTAACTGAAAGTTATTTCAAAATCTCTTATTCTAAGAGTTTATTGAAATTTTTATTTTGTCACTTTTCACTTTTGTTAGTAATTTGGCTTCAGGTTTAGTGTTTCAGCCTATTTCATGTTTTAAAACATTCTATTTAATTATAAACAAAATGTGTTAGTCACCTATTAATACAGTATTAAATGAGACTGTATCTGTAGTTTTGTATTCATATTTCTCCTTTAAGAAGGACAGCATTTTTGCTGTTAAATGGGTCATAATGTAAAAATAAAATGCTTAGAAATTAAACATGGAATCAAAATGAAAAGCATATTCAAAGTATTTTTCTCCATTTTTATATGTTATAGGAGTTGAGAATGAGCATGGAAAATATGGCTAAGGGTGAGGATACTGTACATGGAGAGGTGAGAAGAAAAAGTTACTCTGTTATGGAATATGAATAAGTATCCTGGAGTGTGATGCTTAATTTTGATGCATTAGTAGATATGTTTTAAAAATAATTTTATTTATCTATGTTTGGCTGTGTTGGGTCTTCTTGCTGCACAAGGCTTTTCTCTAGTTGCAGTGAGTGGGTGCTATTCTCTAGTTGAGCTACTCGGGCTTCTCATTGTGGTGGCTTCTCTTGTTGAGGAGCACAAGCTCTAGGGCACATGGCTCAGTAGTTGCAGCTCCCAGACTCTAGGGCACAGGCTCAATAGTTGTGGCATACAGGCTGCTCCTGCAGCATGTTGGATCCTCCCGAACCCATGTCTCTTGCATTGGTAGGCAAATTCTTTAACACTGAGCCACCAGGGAAGCCCAGTAGCTAAAGTTTTAATATGGAGATTATCAAAACTGTTAGTTCAAATACATAATCTAGTAATAACAAGTCACAAATAGGGTATACTCTAAAGCCAATCCTCAAAGTGGGTAAAACTGGGATATTCAGTTCGTTTTTGTATTTTTAAAAACCAGAATATTATGAGATTATTGACCATATGATTACATGCAGTGATATGTTTTAAATTTCTGATGTATTTTTTTAAAAACACATTTTGGCATTTGTTTTTAGAATTCTCTTGTCATTAACAGGTATTGGTTCATTCCATTAACTGACAATGTTGAATTTTGATGTTATAACTCAGAAATGTCTTAGCAGAACTGAAAGCAAATTAATGTATTAATCTCAAAGTCATTTGAAAGTGAAAATGAATTATATGATTCATTTATGATCGTATGACTATAGGATGGAGCCAACTCAGGCAAAACACTAGCTGAAATTAGTGATCGATACGGGGCACCAAACTTGAGCAGAGTGGAAGAACTCGACGAACCAATGCTCTCTGATGTAAGTATCCTTAAGAAAGTGTTTTGTGAAAAACAGAGTTTCTTGTTTTTCTTGGGAAAGCCTAGTGTCTCTCAGGCCAGGGTTGGATAGCAAAATCTGTCTTTTGCTTCACAGAAAGAAATCAGCTTTCTGGGTGCCAACTTGTTTCTAACTGATGTTCTATGCAGTGTGCTGCTGGCCCCGAGAGTGAGGGCAGGCACTTGTCTGGCTCCACACAGAAGTGTGGGTTCTGATGGGGAGGTAGCTGGATGTTAATGTGGGGTGAGCAGTGTGCCCTCCTGTGCAGGGGGTGATGTGGTTGATCGGAAGTGAGGCTTTGAAAATTTCAAAATCTCTTCAAAATGTATATTTAAAATCATGTGGAAAAATACATAATCTTTAAATTTTGGGGGCCGATATTTTGGTTCTCAGTAATAAACCATGGAGCCACGTAAATAACCTAATGAGAGTGCATGTTTTACAGTATTTATGTACGTTGGCTTATTTAATAATCATACAGTGTTTCCTGTTCACACATACTGTGCCCACTGCTTTTATGGCCAAAACAGGTCGTTCTGACCTTGTCTGGGAAAGAAACAAACAACTGGACAAGCAAGTAATTGTCAGTGTTAGAGTGGCCAGATAATTGGTTGTCCAAAGTAGTATGCTTTGAGAGCGAGAGGAGGAGCTGTTGATATCTGATGCCATCAGCAGCTGTGACCCAGGACTGCCCTGAAAGAGGCTGCATTGAGTCACCTGCATCAGTGGGCACTGACAAAGTAGAACAGCTGCCTGGCTGAAGACCCTTGATCAGGGAAAGCTTCATGGAGAAAGTCAGCCTTGTCAGTCATTGGGGGGGGGGCGGGGCGGAGTCTGGGAGCACAGAAAGTATCAAGACCCAGCTGAGGGTGAAGAGAGAGGGAATGGGAGGCAGGGAGAGATCAGAGCTGGGACAGTGGAGAAATCAGGGGCCAGGCCACTAAAGGACCTGAATTTGTGCTCAGACATATGTATTTTATCTTAAAGGCAGTGGAGGTCAATGTGATCAGAGCTGCGTCTTAGGAAGGCCATCTGGCTATAGCGTGTAGAAGAAAATGGAGTGATAGATTTGAGAAGACCCACCAGGGGGGCTATTGTAATCTACGGAGAGATAGCATTGATGACCGAAAATAGTAAATGGTGTTTTAAGAGCTGTTCAGAAAGTGGAGCTGGGTGGATTTGGTTCTAATCAGTCAGTGGATATATTTTTACTAAATGGCTGCTGTGGTTGAGTACTATGCAGGGAGCTAGAAAATACCAGAGAGCAAAACAGAGTGGGTTTCTGCCCTTTGGTATCCTCGGGCTGCTGGGGGAAAGTTCTCTGAGAGGAAAGAGCAGGGAAACCTGACCTAGCCTGGGTGAGTCTGATGCAGGAATGACATTTAAAGAATTAGCCTGAGATAAGTCTAGCAGATAGAGACAGCAAGATGCTTTCAAGGAACTGGAATAGTCCAATATTTTGGTTTGAGTTGCATGGAGTGAGGGGAAGGAAGTGATCTGAAGATTGGAGAGGTGGGTATAGGCCAGATCATACTGGGCTCTGTGTGTCATGTTAGGGATTTTGGACTTAGGTGCAGTAGAAGTCATCAAAAGGGTTTATGTGAGGATTAGATAAGTGTTTTTAGAAGGTGCAGAGAAGATCTGAGTGGGTGGGAGTGGGAACAGTGGACAACTTAGGAAATTATCATAGTCATTCAAGTGCAAGGTGAATAGGATCAGGATGCACACAACACAGATGAGGACAGTTGAGTGGATTTGCTATTAGCTGGGAGGATAAGGGGGAGAAAGAAATCAAGGATGAAGCCCAGATTTCTGCCTTGGGCAACTGGACTCGTCACCATTTTTTGAACTTTACCATTGGTTGAATTGAAGAACATATGAATAGAAAGTAGGTTTTGTGAAAATGATGGCTTCAGTTGCAGACATGCTGAGTTTCAGGTCACTGAGATATGCAGGTGGGTCTGGAGGACAGGAGAGAGGTCCAGGCAGGAAAGAGGAATTCAGTCATATATACTAAGTGAAGCTAGAAGAGTGAGTCAGGTGCTCAAGAGATAATGTAGAATGTGAAGGAGGGGTCTCAGGGTGAAGTGTTTGTGTGTGTGTGTGTGTGTGTGTGTGTGTGTGTGTGTGTGTGTGTGTTTAGTTGCTAAGTCATGTCCAATTCTTTTTTGACTTCATGGACTGTAACCCACCAGGTGCCTCTGTCCGGGGGATTTCCCAAGCAAACATACTGGAGTGGGTTGCCATTTCCTTCTCCAAGGGGTCTTCCCAACCCAGGGATCAAACTTTTATCTCTTGCATTGGCAGGTGGATTCTTTACCACTGAACCACCTGGGAAACCCTCTCAGGGTGAAACCATGAGAAATTTCAACATCTAAGGGATGGGTACAGGAACCGACAAGAAGGATACAGACAACAATAAGAGAGAATAGCCAGAGAAGTAGAAGAAAGGATGGGTTAATAAATACACTGAGGATACAATTAAATTATTATTATGTTGAACTTGGATTTTATGTGAAATAATCTGAAACTATCAAAAAGCTTCATTTACATAGTCACATAGAAGTTACCTAAGCTCTAATTTTGTGTAGCTTGTACATTTCACAGTTCTAATTGTATTTAGTAAGTTCACTCACTCAGTTGTGTCTGACTCTTTGTGACCCCATGGACAGCAGCATGCCAGGCTTCTGTGTCTATCACCAACTCCCAGAGTTTGCTCAAACTCATGTTCATCGAGTCAGTGATGCCATCCAATCATCTCATCCTCTGTTGTCCCCTTCTCCTCTTGCCTTCAATCTTTCCCAGCTTCAGGGTCTTTTCTAATGAGTCAATTCTTTGCATCAGGTGGCCAGAGTATTGGAGTTTCAGCTTCAGCATCAGTCCTTCCAATGAATATTCAGGCCTGATTTCCTTTAGGATTGACTAGTTGGATCTCCTGGCAGTCCAAGGGACTCTTAAGAGTCTTCTCCAACACCACATTTCAAAAGCATTAATTCTTCAGCACTCAGCTTTCTTTATAGTTCAACTCTCACATCCATACATGACTACTGGAAAAACCATAGCTTTGACTAGATAGACCTTTGTTGGCAAAATAATGTCTCTGTTTTTCAATATGCTGTCTAGGTTGGTCATAGCTTTTCTTCCAAGGAAAATTGTATTTCTAATTGTATTAATTAAAATTTCTAATTGTATTAAAGCACATTTTAATACAATATGCTACAATTTTAATACAAAAGCATACAATTAATTGTATTAGTTAAAGTTTATAATTATATTAAAGAATATTTACTTTTCATTTTGTTTTTAGGTTGCATTAAACATTGATCAAGATTTGTAGGATCAACCAACCTAAGAACAATAAATTTTTCTTCTTGCTTCAAGTTTCAAAATAGGAGGTCCCCGGTTGTATTTTTTTTACCTCCAAACTTGTACTCTGTTTATCCTCCCTCTAACCACAGTTTTATAAATGAGTTTCAAGTGTGGCCTTAAAATATTGTTTTCTTAATGTAACTGGTTATGTGTGTGATGTCGTTGAGAGAACAGGAAAGAAATTTTCCCAAAGCAACCAAAAGGAGCACCAGCTGAAAAGAATTGTGTGCATCTGTATGAGAACAAGATTACCTGGGGTGAAAGTTACTGGTCTGTGAGAAGTGAAAGAGGCTGCCACTGTGTAGGGCTCAGGAACATTCAACATGCTTTAGACATGATGGTTTCCTCCCGGGTGTGCACTGCAAAGACCTCCCCAGTTTGCTGGGAAATGATGCTTTGTAGTTCCACCTAATCCATGCTTATTGATGCGGCTGGGGTAGGGAAGCTTTGTTTGTTTTGCAGCAATCTTTGGGCAGAGGGATGATGTGCTGCTGTTGAAAGGAAGATCTCTCTTCCTTCAGTGGATGCTGGGTGGTCTGTGGACCTTGACTGCACTCTTGGCCTCTTGGAAGTTTCAGGGCTAGCTTTGAACTTTAGGGAGAGATTTGCTTTTATAAAAAATTTTTCCAGATCTGTTTATGTATGAGTCCTTTCTGTTCCTTAAGGAGTGGTATAGGCATGGAAGCATAAATGCCAAGAAGAGGCTTCTTCTAAAAAAAAAAAATTCTGGTTTTGGTTATAATATACCTTTCCTGACACAGTGAGAAGAGAACAACCTAATTGCATAAATGGGGAAAAAAAAAGGGGGAAAAATTATGGGAAAGAATACAGCTTTCATTGAAGAGAAATGTTATATCAGTTCTATACTTTTTAAAAAACTTAAAGAATTTGGGGCTGCGCTGGCTCTTCTCTGCTGCCCATGGGTGGTTTTCTCTAGTTGTAGTAAGCGGGGGCCACTTTTCACTGTGGTGCGCAGGCTTCTCATTGCTGTGGTTTCTCTCGTGGAGGAGCAAAGGTTCTAAGGGAACAGGCTTCGGTAGCTGCAGCATGTGGGTGCAGTAGTTGTGGTCCAGGGGCTTAGCTGCCCGGTAACATGTGGAATCCTCCTGGACCAGAGATCAAAGGTCCTCCTGGACCTTTGCATTTGCAAGTGAATTCTCAACCATTGTACCACCAGGGAAGTCCAGTTCTGTACATTTTTTTTTGGAGAAAAAAGTTCCAGGTGCCCTGGAGCCATAGATAACTTCTGTGTCAATCAGGCTGCCAGGTATTCTGCCCCCCATATGGATGACCTGTGTTCACTGCACCCAGGCAGAAGTGTTAAAGGCAGCAGGATAGTGTCCTTCAAGGCCTCAGCCTCAACCAGTGTGGCACCATCAAGGAGGGCTAGGTGTGAAAAGACAGGCTCAGAGGGCAATCTTGGACTCAGTCAGCCCATGCCACTCCCCAAAGAGTGCAGTCTGGCCCTGGGATTTGGCAGCAAGAGTTTCTGAGTGTCACTCAACGCTCAAGAGCGTTAGTCACAAGGTGAAGCTTTGTGCTCTGCGATACGGGATGTTCTTGTGTGAAGAGTCCCCAGCCAAAACTTGGTATAAGAGAAAGAAGGTGGAATGGGATAAGAAAGGAGATGAAAGGTGTTCAACCTTTGTCTGGGAAGAGAGCCCTGAAGAGGACTCAGCTGGTGATCAGGGTACAAGGGAAGAGGCTCCCATCTCCACCAGGAGATGACTCACAGATACAGCAGATGCCCACTGGGACTAGGGCAAGGCTGTCGTCTTCAGGCAGACACTTAGGCTGAGTTTGAATCTGAGTCTCAGAGTTTCTTGCTAAATGGCAGCAAGACTTATTTTAGACCCACCCAAAGGATGGGGTCCTCTGTCCATTAGATTTCCCAGGCAAGAATACTGGAGTGGGTTGTCATTTCCTTCTCCAGGGGATCTTCCCAACCCAGGAATGAAGCCCGCATCTCCTGCATTGACAGAGAAGCCTGGTGGGCTACACAGTCCATGGGGTAGTAAAGACTAAACAGTGACAACAAAGGATGGGGTGGAGATGGCTCCTGTTTTGGCATACTTTTAAGGAGCTAGATGAGATCCTGTTTTGGTTGAAGTATTCTAGATTTTCCTACTGATCTGGTTCTTAGTGGAAGGCAAAGAGGAGGAAGAAGTGAAAGAATGGAGAGACATAAAGGATCTAAACATAAGTAAACTATAGGTTTCTGCTTCTTTTTGTTTTACTTACCAGTTGTAGTTTTTTAGATTCCACATGTAAGTGGCATCATGAAGTTAAATAGACATTTTGGCTGAATCTTGAATAGCCAAATATTAAGTTCACTGTTCAGCTGAAGCTATAGGTTAACTTCTGAGACATAGCAATTTTTAAAACATCACTTTTATTAAAATTTTGGCTTAATATTATGCTGGAGCAGTGATTCTTCAGCATTTTTAAATGCTTGCAACTTTTGTGGTCACTGTGCCACACAATTGTAGTACTGTGTAAATGTTTATTTTCAGCTAAAATAGAGAAAGAAGATACTTTTCAGTACTTTTTCCCCCTAATGTGTTTTTTTCTTTAAGCTCTCAATTATTTATTTGTGTTTGATAGTTCTGGATACCTAATTTTTCTCCAATTCAGTTTTCTGCTCTGTAGATGCTATATTTTTAATTTTGTTTGGATTGAAGATGATTTATCCTGGATATAGCTGTATATATTTTTGGGACATAACAGCTTTATTGAGATAAAATTCACAAACAATCACCCATTTAAAATTTATAATGCATTGGTTCTTAGTACATTCACTGGTTTGTACAACCATTACCACAATCAGTTTTAGAACATTTTCATCACCCCAAGAAGAAACTGTCTGGTTTAGTGGTCATGACACCTAGATCCTTCCCCCTCAACTCTAGGCAACTACTAATCTAATTTTTATGTATAACATCAGAAAGCACAGCATCTGACCCACCATCAGTACAGTTAAGAATAACCGTTGGGTTAGGGTGATGATAGTCTGTGCTTCCAGTCTTCTGTGTCCCCTCTTGCAACTAGTAATTTGTATGGTTACTATATGACCATCCAATCCTAATCATTTTAATACTAGTTGCTAATTTTTATCCAAATCAAACTTTGCATTGGAGTTTGTGAAATTCATTGTTAATTCTATTTTCCTTTTACATTTATGTCTATCTTTCTTCTGAAAAGTTTTTCATAATCATTGAAAATCATTGGGTTACCCCCAAATGTAATTCTTCCTAAAAAGAGATAAATGTTTCTTTTCCCTTAATTACTAGCCTTGAAAGTAAGGAATTCAAGTAGCTATGAATAGTGACCCTTTTTCCTAAATTTCTTTTAATTGATTATCATTATGAACTCATGGTATTTCTTTGATTTAGTAGTGTCTTTCAATCCATTACAGTTATTTTTTATTATCATCACCTTGGTAAGTGCTCCTTTATTCCTTATGTATGGTATTGCCACTACTCAGGCCCTGCATAATTTATATTATTAACTAATCTGCAGATGAAGAAACTGAGGCACTAAGAGAGGGGTTTTGCCTCATTTTAAACAGTTGGTAAGTGACAGAGCTGACCTGGACTGGGCCTTTGTTGGGCCTCAAAGTCAGTGCTGCTGATGTGCTCAGTCGTGGCCAACTCTTTGCGACCCCATGGACTGTAACCTGCCAGGTTCCTCTGTCCATGGAATTTTCCAGGCAAGAATACTGCAATGGGTTGCCATTTCCTTCTCCATCAAAGTCAGTATTTTCTGTCAATTTACTATTTGGATTCTGGATAGGGACAAGAAAATTGAAAATAATTTTTTTTAAAAAGATCTGAAACAATTGTTTGTATAGCTCAATGTTCATAAAGAATTAGACTTTTTAAGTATATGTTTTACTTTTTATTGTGGTAAGATGCACATAACATAAAATTTACTATTTTACCATTTTAAAGTGTACAGTTCAGTGGCAGTAAATAAAGTCAGCCATCACTGTACTTGATATCATGCAGTCATCCTCACTGTCTGGTTCCAGGATGTCTTTATCAAAGCTGGAGACTACACACCCATTAAGTAATCAATCCTCATTCCTCCCTCCTCCCAACTCATACCAACCACTAAGTAGGTTTCTATGAATTTACCAGTTCTGGAAACTTCAAATAAATGGAATATATGGCCTGGCTTCTGTCACCTCCATGTTTTCAAAGTTCATCTACGTTGTACCATATATCAGTACATTGTTTGTCACTGAATAATAACTTACTGTATTGATATATACCACACTCATCCATTTGTCAATTCATGGACACTAGGGTGGTTTCTGCCTTTGGGCTATTGTGAATAATGTTGCTATCAACGTGTGTATTCAAACTTTTATGTGGACATGTGTTTTCAGTTCTTTTGAGTATATACCTCGGAATGAGTCATACAGTAATTCTATGTTGAAGTTTTTGAGGAACCTCCAAGCTACTTTCCATTGTAGCTACACCATTTTACATTCCTACCAACAATGTATCATTCCCACTTAACACTTGATATTTACCATTTTCTTTTCTTGTGTGTGGCTATCCTAATGGGTGTGAAGTCGTATGTCATTGTGGTTTGGTTTGTATTTCCCTAATTACTTAATAACTAAGCATCTTTACATGTGCTTGTTGGTCATATTTATGTCTTTGGAGAGATGTTCATTCAAGTCCTTTGCCTGTTTTTGTTTTTTTTTAAATTGAGTTTTAAGTTTTTTTTTTCTTCAGAAAAATATATTTTCTGGATTCTAGACCCTTATTGGTTGTATAATTTGCAAATATTTTCTCTCATTCTCTCACTCTCCTGATAGTGTCTTTTAATCCTCCAAAGATTTCATTTTCAAAAAGTCCAGTTCATCTATTTTTTCTTTTGCTACTTGTGCTTTTGATGTCATATCTAAGAAATTATTGCCAAATCCAAGGTCATAAAGGTTTGCACCTATGGTTTCTT